AATGCGCTACAAGATAGTAAGATTTTTTGTTAAAAAAAAATATGATATTTCTCTGTAGGCTGCAAGTGTGCATCCTGGTCTTTACCCTATTTTGACGCTTCTGTCCCGTCTGCACCCGTCGGGGATGGATGGTATTGACAAGGTTAATGCAATGGCACCCTTTGTTCCGCTGGTCTCCAAATGTGCTGCCAGCTCTATTTTTAAGGTATCTTTTTTTTTTGAAACAGGAAGAAAAAAATGCTGACTGTCTTACTAGACGAAAGAAATGACAGCCAGAGCCCTTGTGCCTTTGGTTTCGTCTACCGATCTGGTTCCGACTGTCGTACAGTTATTAACACTGCATGAACAACTGACGCAGAACGAAATCCATGGCCGACTTCTGCAGGTTCAATTTTTGCTACGTGGACATCTTTATCAGAGCTCTCTACGGGAGCCCTTGCTTGAGTTTGCCAAAACTGTACCATCCATTATACTGGCAAGCCTTGGAGTGTGGCGCGAGTACAAACTAAACCACATGACCCATGCTCTTCTACTTGATATTGTTGGAGAGTTCTTTTTTGATTGCAAATGGATAGACGAAGGAAACAAGAAGGATTCCATTGATGGTAGGTTGTAAAGAAAAGTTATGTATGACGTTCTAATCTTGTTGGATAGAACTAATGTCGCTAGCTACTACTGAGTTTCCTGTTCTGCAAGATGCTATAGTTGAGCATTGTCGTGAAGGAATATTCCACGGCGATATATCTGACATTGGCGCGTACCTGTTACGCCAGAAGATGGCTGGTATCATTGTGAGCGCAACTTTGAAAAAGGGCGACGCGCTCGATGATATTCTACGGCTGATGGAAGACCGTGATTACGAAGTACGATTGATCGTCATGGAAAAACTAAAGGCACACTTCAGCACGCCGGGTGCTAATGTACACGGCGCACCAGAGTAAGGACCTGACAGGGGATGAGATCACAAATTTTGCTGGAGTTATTCACGTTAGACTAGGGTTCGCATGGTGCAGGAGAAACTAGTCCAAATGACCTATGGTGCCGAAAAACATTTGAACTGTTATGTTCTCGCCAGTCAATTCCTGATGAGTTTGCAGGCATCGAAACCTTACCCAGAGGACAGTGCTGCTCGGTTTGGTTTCTCCTTGGAGCAATACTGGGATCGATTGGTTGAACAGCTCAAGGAGAGAAAATCATTATCAGTAACCGAGTCTCTGTTACCGCTACTTGGAGCCTTGTTATCTCAGGTGATCTATATAATGCGTATAAATTATGCGATAACTGATTTTTTTTTCATTAGATATTATGCAGCGACTCTAGTGATGAATGGAAGCAGCAATGCCTAACATTCTGGAGCAATCACATTGTCTCATATAGTCACCAGGATGCGGTAAGATTGCTTGGTTTATACTGTTCTGGTTATATTTATCTGTTTCAAAGACATTGTCTCTACGTGAAGCGTCCGCGGAATCCATCCACTACATTGCAAAGGCTCTGTTTGCTCAGAACGAAACAACAAGCATAGACTCGGCCACTGTCTCTGTCCAGCTTGCGATCATTCAACTCCTTCAGGTAAATCCAGATCGAGTGGAAACTATGTTCTGAACCGTATTTACATTAGGACGACGACATCGACGTTCGTCACATGATGGCAGGCGTTGTTTCTGACGCACTTCAGCTGCCGGTAAGATTGGCATGAATAAGGATTTTAATTGCTAAACCTCAACACACATCTAGGCTCCAGTGCACCCGGAGAGAGCAGTTGAGCTGGTCTATCTGCATCTTGGTAAACGTTCTACATACAGCATCCATCTTCAGGAGTACCTGTCGCAAGTCGTCTCTGGTGGCAAACCGCCAAGTAAGATATATATAAAGTGAAGGGAAGGCATGTGTAGCTAATGGGCTTTTTATAGAACGTGCCTTGGATGAGGAGCTTCTCCTGACCAAGACCTTGTTTGCAAAAGAGACGCCCAATATTTATAAGGAAGATCTCATTGATATTCAATGGGCTAGTGTCAACCTGGACTTATTGCACATTCAGCATTCAGTGCCGTTTGTGCAATGGGTTCATACACACTGTGCAACCTATGTGAAGGATGTTGCCAAGCAGGTGCTTGAACTGATTTATCAGCTGAAAGATTTGTCTCCCTCAGTAAGTTCTGGCATATGTGTATAGTGGATGGTAAAACTAAAGCCTTTCATAAAGATGATGCAGCATGGGCCTTACGGTGTGACTTCGCGACCTGCGATTTTCTTGGCTTCCTATCGGAAGCTCTTGGCACTGAACAATGCATATCAGTCTGTGGACGGTCTTAAGGATTCTGCGCTTTTGGAAGTAACAAAAGGTAAAGTCGCACTACTAAATAATTGAAACTAACGCGGGGGTTATAGAATTAAATGATGCATTGCGCGAACTACCGGAGAGCATCGTTCACCCATTGCTGTGGCAGCAGCTTCGTGGCGAGGATGGGTTGTCTTCTAAAACTGCCCATGCGCTAAGAAGCTGGGGACAGCCTTTGCGCTACAACATGTTCTTGTTAACGCCAAACTGAAAAAGATCATAAATAGAAAAGCATTTAGATTTGTGATGCGTCCATCTGACGTGCCCATTTAATTAAACATGCGTATGTATGCATGTTGTTTACTCCTACGTGTCAGCGTATTTATATTGTTCAACCGCATTCTGCGAGGGACGTGCCATATTGATTCAGGTCAACTATTTAATGTTCTTTGGGTAATCAAAATGACCTTATCCATTAAAATTCCTGGAACCATTGAATAATCCTCTGCAAAGGTTAAAAAGCATTTTCACCCCTATTTTCTAACAATAGCGCAAGGAGAGGTTGGTTATGTTTATCAAATTGCTGTATAAACAATTTAAGCATGGTAAACGTTCTCAGGCTATTGAGGGACGCACACAAGAATGATTACTTTGTGTAAATAGAACAAACCTTTCCCCCCCCCAGCGATCACTCGGCGTCACGTCTGAAACGCAACAACTTTTTTGCTGCCCATAACCAAGGTAGTTAGAACATCCGTATACTTGTATGTATCGCTTTTACGCACCGCGCGCGTGCTTGCGATCGGGCTATTGGATCCTTTTTAGACCAGGTTTCATTGCGCACGGACGATAAGCCTCGTCATGTGCGCACGCCTGTTTTAGATCCACCAGCGACGTCCTTCTTTTCTTTGGTCGGTCAACGTCTAGGATGACACGACGAACATAGGAAACTGACATTTCTTTTTCTTTTTCCCTCCTTTCCTTGTCCTCTCCCGGAAACACAGCAAGTCTATACTTCGAGTGACGGAAAGTAACATGGATAATATAAATATTTGTACACTTGGCCTGGTTCGGATCGATGCTATTTGTATTGTTACTTATCGTGGCTCTGCGCGATTCTGCTGTTTAAATGAGGCTATATTTCCCCCCCCCACAGTAAAACGATCGTTTGGCTAGGCAGTGACATGGAGGGCGATTTATACCGCCATTGGCATTTTGGGAACAATATCTGATTTTGCTATTGATGTTGTTTGATCCAGGCTATGACATTGATTGCCAAGACAGTCATTTGGCTAAATATAAACTGATAAAGATGCAAATTGCAACTGATCTTGTGACGAGGATCTTCCTCGTTTCCAAACAAAAAGGTACTGATATCTTGTAACAGTTTCTTCTACGCCGATGGCTAAGCAGGCCACGACGGAGGAAATATCTATAGTCCTACCCATTTCTGCTTGTTTTTTTTCTAGTAGCAAGCCAGCACCGCTGTTTTGAAAGGAAGAACTCAGTACTTTCGTAATCTAGCTACGCTTTTATTTGGGTAATGTGACCTAATTCATATCGACCTTTGATCAGCATCTTCAGGCACTGAGCCCTTTTTGTTTCATTTACAGTTGAATCTGTGTATATCACATCCGTAATGTGACATCTATCTACCTATCCCATCTTCAGCTTATGGAGATAGGCCGATGGGTATACCGTTAGAGCTCATTTCTGTGTACGGTTAGAGTTGTACAAGACAGGGGGTATGTTTGTAGCCATTGTGGAAAATAGAATAGCAGTTCCAAAGATTTTTTTCCGTATGTAATTGCTCGTTGAAGCTTATCAATTTGATGTTTCCTCTATCACTATCTTATTTTGATAGGAAAACCCAAAACAAGCGAGCTTTGCGTACCTCTTAGGCCGAAACAAAAGCTTTGTCTGTCGAACTGGGCAGTGCCTTGCAAGGAGTCGAGAAACTGCATCTGTTGGCCAATAGTTACTATGACTAAAGGAACAGGAATTACCAAGAATTACCAATTTGACGTGACCACTAAAATGCCTTTTTTTTTTCAAAAACTGTACATTTCCTGGTGGCCCCATACTTGGTTTTTCCGTGTACTTCGTGATTCGAAATCTGAAGGTTTTTTTTTGTAATACTTTGTCTGCTTTTGTCATGTCTAATTTCCAGCTGGCAAAACCCGTATTCATATTAGATTTTGTTCAGTTTTTGGCAATAAGTAGATATACTTTTCTTTATTAATTCTGTTTTATTTAACGCGCAGTTTGTCAAAGCCAAATGCAAATAGCATAATATCATGAACAGCAGTGCTTTGCTTGCATCAAACTCACATGTATAACATATAAGCCTGGTCATGCCACCAAAAATCAGTATAGTGTGACCCCGTGGATTTTAAAGAGTCATAGATAACGATTTTATCAAACTCAATAGCCCATTCAGCCAATATTCAGTGGAATACTATTCAAGAATTCAACAGGTTTGTATATTTTTTTTTCTAATTCTAAATATATGGTCAATGCGATATAAAGATGTTTAAAAAAAGAGAATGAAAAAGAAATATTAAGTAAGGTTCGCAGGAAGAGCACTTCTTGGAGATGTTTTTACTTTTGGAGGATAACCAAATAGCAAAGAGGTTGTCATCTTGAAAAGTCGAACGTGATTGGCCTGATGAACTTGTGCGACAGTAAAAAAAATCCGGCAAAAGGAAGCCAAAAAGTTTTCCCCAACGGGGAATCGAACCCCGGCCGACGGTGTGAGAGACCGCAATCCTAACCACTAGACCATTGAGGACTTGGTATTATTAAAAACAAGCACATCATAATATGTACAATGAAACCATATTCTCTGAACATAAAAATATAAGCAGTGGTGATGTGGTTTTAGTAAAGGCTTTGTATATAGAAAAACCTACTAATTATACATTTATATTTTTAAATATTGTTTATTATTTTTCAGTGTAAATACCAATAAAAAAGCAAGCTAAATAGTATTTATATAACTTTTTTTTTTTTTGTATTGATACTGGGTATCAGATTTTTATTTCGAGTCACGTGTTCGTGGAAGGGACGTGCTTGTCAAAGTCAAGAGGGAAACGGAGGAACTGGTAATATTTATATAACTTTGTGTTTTTTTAGTGAGGATAATTAAAAGGTTAAAAGGTTAAAAAGTTTAAAAATTAATGGCTGATGAAGTAATATTTTTTTGGACGCGATGATTTAAAAAGGATGCATAGTTTTAATTTTCAAAACCCGACGACTGGTAATGAGTGGAGAATAAAGACTGAACTGATTCACCACATACAATCGCGAATTCAGCAACCAAATCCAACATTAGTGATTGTCATCTTCATACTACTACATACCGACATAAAGACATTTTACATTTTCTTCACAAGATTTTGAAACAAAGTAATCTATGAAAAAAGCCTGGAATCTCAGGAATGAGTTTGTAAAAAAGATGAAAGGATCATTCACATATTCATCGATAATATTATCATGTTTTCGGCGAGTAAAGAAGGGTATGTATAATATTTAATCAATATTTTAAAGATATACAGGCAGTGTCATCTATGATTAAAATGTATAAAATGCTCTTTCGTGAGACAGTAGCTAGAACATATGAAGCATGAGTGATGATAAACAGAATTTTATTCATGAGTTACAATGTGAAATGGGAGGGATGTTAGATCGTTCTTGAGAACTATAGGGAACTACCGCCGATTTGTGAGGGAGTACGCGCAAAGTGCAAAAAGCCTGGCTCAGCTCATATAGAGTAATATAGTATTTCAATAGATGCGGAAGATCAGAAGACTTTTGTACCCTGTTTTCCAGAAGCTAAATAACCTCCAGATTGGTATATATCCAATCATTCGATATGTTGACCTCGCGCCTAAAATCCACTCGACAGTAGTGTGAGAGCGAGATGTTTTAATTTTTTAGTCATGTACATGGAGGCCGCCTTCTCTTCTAATGTCATAAAAGTTGTTGATCTCCAGAGCAAACGTTTTCTGAGAACGTGACACTATAAAACGAAGGCTTACTTGACATTCAATATATGGCTTTTTGTAGGTAACTGTAGAAAAAGTGAAATACACCGCCAGGCAAAATGTGCCATACGCTCTGAATTCGTTCAGAAGCACAGCTAAGTGTACGTTGAATCTTTCAAAAAAAAAAAACACGCTACTGTTTAATCTTTATTCTTTCAAAACCAACAGCCATTTAATCTTCCTCTTCGCTGCTGTCTTCGTTATCCTTCAACCATTGCACGAAGGGAGCCATTTGCTTAAGGAACACAGTCTTGCCTTGAGGCTTGTGCGCTTTGTCGGCCCAGTAAAGAATAGCGTTGTCAGACAACACATCGTTCTTGTAAAGGAGTTGGACGATTTGACGGAAGAACTTTGTGAGTTTAGCATCTTCATAACAGGTCAACTGGACCCTTTGAAGGAATACAATTTCTGTCTTTGGTGAAGTCGCGAATGCTTCCAATGCTTTCGACCATTTCTGTTTAAAACTTTCTGTCAGCTTATGCATTAGGCGCTCCATTGACTTACGTTTAGCGTGCGCATGGTCTGGATCTCCAGTTGATCCGGGCGAGCATTAATTAAATCGATGGTGCTCAGCACTGCTGCCCATACAATTTGGATAATTTCAGGTTCACTCAAACCAGCATCCTTTGCACCTTGCTTGATATAGGTTACGACCTCGGCGACACTAGATTCTGCCTCCAGCATTTCTTTCAGAGTAACCACCAAATCTTCCTTCATAGAGTTCTTCTGGTTTCTCTGATAAAACTCCACAAGGGGCTTCATATCCTCGGCTTCGAAGTGACGCACAAGGCATTCTTCCTCTCGCTTGTTGGGAGGGAAAAGCTCGATAAGCTTATCATCCAAGCCAGCGTTGATCAACGACCTGCCCAGTTGGTCGATGGTTTGCTCACCAAGGATAGTCCGGAACACCATGGTGGAGAAAGACAGGGAAAGTCCTATCGATGTTTCAGTAAAACCAATCGCGCAGCAAGTAAACTTACCATCCTTAACCAAATAATCTTTGAGAAGGACTTTAAGCAACGAAATATTGGCGAGCTGGGCGGTGATGAAATAACCAGTAGCTTTGGCCAATTTGCTGTCATCAGTTGCTTGCCATTTGTTAATGAACTGCATAATGTTCTTGAGAGTATCTTCCAACGATCGTTGCAAGTACTTGTGGCGACGGATCAGTTTGTTGAACACATCAACATGCTGCTTAATCACCGTGGGCTCATCTTCGGCCGCGAAAATGCTAAATGGGCTAAGCTCCGCATCAGTGTCGATGTTTCCTCCGGGTTCTAACAAATGTAAGTTTCTTTCCTTGTTGCCAATCTGCGTTACCTAAGATACCACCGGTAATAAGGATTTCAAAAAGCGAGTCTCCGTATTTGCGATAATCAAGTGTATTTGAAATTGCGTCGAGTTTAGTCGAAATGGCATCGAGATCGCCAGATTTGACAGTTGATAGTTCTTTCAGAATATTATCTCTAAAAGCTAATACCGTGTTTAGTGCTGACCATTAAAAAGTTCAAGTTACCCTCGGGTTCGTGCTTTGCTTGTGCTTTTTGGACACCCTAAGATGGGGAGATGATGAGTATATGGAATTTTTTTTTTGCTAGTCATCTTACTTTTCTCTGTTTTATCTTGACACCATGCAAAACAGGTTTGGGATTGGTTGCCGGGGTCTGGGGAGAATTCATGAATTGCTTGGTTACGTTCGTTCTTTTCTTTGCTTTGCTACTGGTAGTGCCTATCGACTGACTATAGAGGGGTGTCGCAAAGTTTAAAACATTTTATTTTTAAAATGAATGTGACCGGTACTTTTAAGGTCGCCGCTTTGATCCTCACACCACTCCATTAATTTTTGGCAAATCGAACCTATGAGAGGTGAAGGTGTTTAAACCTACACATCTGCTGCTTGCCAAGTAAAACCTTCTCTTCTCACTCAGAATTATATATAAATGCTTATAAAAACTAGTGTCCTCTCAATAATTATCGTGGCAAATATAACTGAAGTTTATTCTTATCCAAATTTCAGTCGACTGATCTTTTTTGAAGGGAACTCCTAGGGACACTCTACTTGTTAAGGAAACTTCACCGAGAACAGTCTATTACAAACACTCTACTTACTACCGAAAAATTTCCTGAAGATACCCCCACTACAGATACCATACTTTCTATGGAAACGTTACTGGTGCCACTCCCACTGTAGATACTGTGCTTGCTATCAAAACTCTGATGGTGAAACTCCACTAGGGACACCATATCATGGATACTTCACCACAAAACATTATAGCTATCTTAGTGTGAGTAAGATCCACCTTCACAATAGAAAATCTGGTACTATTATTTTGATATCCATCTTACTCTTAAAACTAGAGTGTCTCTAGTAATACTCTTCTTGAAACTCGGATAGATTTGAATGATCAGGTTATTTAACGGAGTTGCTATGGGAAAAAACCACTAATATTTAGAAAACAAAGACCACACCTTCATGTCGATGTATATCTGAACATATAAAGGCTGTTCAGGCCCAACGCCGTCGATACCTACGTCATGGCTCCTATCTTGCGGTGGTTGTGGTTGCTGTTGTTGTTATACACAATTAACTTGCTTTAGTTCGCAAAAGTGTACCAGCTAGTTGAAGTTAGGTCTTGGTCTGCTTTCTTCTTGGGAATACAAAATTGTGATCTACAGATACCATGTACTCGCATCATTAAGTGTTGGTGATGCCTCAGGGGAGAACACCGTGCAAAAGAGAAAGGGGAATAAGAAAAGGAGAGGAGGGAGGATGGGAGGCCAAAAAGCGAAATAAACCCCAACCCACATTGACCATTCTGCTTCTACTACCTTTAGATCACTACACTTTTATCCTCTAATGGCAGTCATATAGGGTAAAAAAAATTGACATATAAGCCAGAATAATCGGAGAATCACATCAAAGGTAATTTTTTGCGACTAGGACTAAGTTTCATTGTACTATGATAACGTGAGCATTGGTTTGAGTGGCACCTCCACGTGCCCTGTCTGGAAATCTATTGATTTCTTTAAAAGAGCTAAAGTTTGTCGTATTTTGAGTCCACGACTGACCTTTACGCAAGTTCTATTAATTGCCTTGTATTGAAAACAATACAAAAAAGTGACTTTGTGTTGGATAGAACACAAACGCAGCGGTGTATACGTTGCTCACTCGCATCATGCTCCTATCCCGAATACCTTCCTTTTTAGGTAACTGGGAGCCAATTGTGTATGGCTTACTTTTTTTAAATATGAAAACCAACGAATGCTGTTTTGATACACCAGATATCTATCTGTTTGCTTTGAATTGTTCCGGAAGATACATCGTAGGAGCTAAGAGTAGAAGTAAACTATAAAGATTATACAAGCATTGCCTTTCATCCAAGGCATGGTTAATATGAGTGCCTCTTTGTATGCAGCGTTCTTGATGACAAACCGGCTGTCAGTATCATTTTCCGTCATGATCGCCAAACTCTGATGATTGACCACACTAGTAATAGTAATTTTATACGAAACCTCAATAATGCTATTCATCTGTTCAGACATGTAAATCATTTTTTGCACTTAGTTTGCATAAGTATTGTTATTGCAAATGATATCGATATTATTAACGATGGCCGATGTCTCTTTTGGTAGATACTATAGATACGTTAAAGATATAATAACAAAAACCACATCCTCTACGTAGAAAAGAATTGGTGACACCTAAACAGTCATGTCGCCAAAAATTTACGTCTCACCCGTTCAT